AACAAATTTTAAGCATGAAATATACCACTGTTGACTACAGGTACAACAGATCTTTAAAGCTCATTCATCTTATTTAATGAAACCTTATGCCTGTTGATTAATAACTCCCCATTTCCACCCTTCCCCTCACCCCCGACCCCAGTAACCGCCATTCGAGTGTTTGATTTTACGAATCTGACTATTTGAGAAATATGTACATGGCTTTAGGAGAAAAGGAACTCTAAAAGCAAGGCTCTCTCCTCTGGCTTTCATTCTTCTCCCTGGTTTTGATTCTGTAATTTCTCACTATCTTGTTGGCTTTCTAATGTATCAGGAAAATACATTTTATACTGTACAGGTTTTCTAGCTGCTCTCATAATTTCCTAACCCACCATAAATGGAAGAGAAACTCTGTAATGTTTTAAGAGAAAAATAAACCCATACAATGATGTGCCTGTGCTATATGGGAGACTTTACACTTGCAGCTAAAAAGGAATTGAGAAATTATCACTTCACTCTCTTATCTCACAGGTGAGCAAAGTAAGGTTGCTAGTTAGTCAGTCATAGGTAGTTGAAGTACTCACTCCCACTCCAGTAATTTCCTTCCTTTATATGAAAAATAACAGATGTCTAGAAACAAGAATGACTGGACACTCTACTCACCCCTTTCCTAGGCGTCAAGGCAATGATGTAATACTGTGTTCGTCTGTTTTATGTTTTACTTGAAACAGATGAAGAGAGACCCAACTATTTGTATTTTTCTTAAAGATCTCTAGGAAAGGGGATTCACCTAGGCACCTGGACTTACTATTTGAGAAGAGTCAGGAAACACCGTCTTAAATTCAATGTAACCATGACTGCTGCAGCCACTTTGAATGTTTCTACTCTCTTCGGAAAAGGAAAAACATGGTCTTTTTCTTCCACTGAATAATGTCTCAAACACATGAAAACTATTTTTAGGCCAGCTCCCTGGAATCTTTGCTTTAGAACAATTGATTTTAAATCCTTTATACACTTTGGTCTTTATACTGTATCTCTGTATCGAGACTTGACAAAAATGCTCTTTTTCGTCATCATCACTGTTTGCCTCCAAAACGTCTTTTTCAAGCCACCACACATAACCACACACGCTGCCAACTGAATGACTGAGAGTTCCCATTTACACGGCCCATGTTCTCATACAGGTTTTACAGACAAACCTGCGGGTTATGACCCTTAGAGTTATGCATGGTTGTGGTTCCGGGGCCCTGCAGGGAGTTTCTTTTTGCTCTCTAAAATAAATCTCGTAGGTAGTCCCATTAACTCGAGTCCGACATCTTCTTCCAACCCACCCTCCCTAAGACTGCAAGAATGAGTTTCCTGAAATGTGTACGTTCAACCACAAACATTAAAGAGGGACCCCAGTGCTCTACACGTCCTTCTTCGAGTGTATAAACGCACATGTGAGAGGCAGGAGGGAGGCTCAGCAGAAAGTAACAGCTGGAGAAGAGAGAACTGGCTTGTGTTTACGTGTGGCCCGACCCACACACAGCTTTACCCTGGGAAAGGTGACAGCCCTACTGACGAAAAGCATTTAAGCCCAACTTCTGACCAATCGCTAATGGACGCTCTATCACAGAGACCCCAGAAGGCTGGCCTTAACCGTGAAAGCAATGATTACCAAGAAAAAAACCAACAAAGAATCAAAAATGGAGCAGACACATCAGTTGCTGTACTCTGCAGTGAGACATATTCCACAGAATTATTCCAAGCAAGTCATAAAACAAGGAAACAAATCAACAACAACAACAAAAACCCGCAAATAAATAAAAAAGATGGACTGTGTGTCTCTCTGTTTCTATATAAAAGAACACCAAATTTCTACGTCCACCCCACCCTACAGCAGCTTTTCTCTCTTCAGAATTAGTGAGCAGCAGGTACAGGTCTGGGGGCTAGGGACACAGAAAGGCCTCTGGAAGTACATGAGGGCTAAAAACAAAGCAAGATAGAAAGCTACATTAACGATTTACATCTATATGCAATATAGATTTAAAATACATACATGTGCATTTGAAGAAAAGGCCTCTTTGTTATTATCATTCCAGAACAGCAGTGAAGACTAGGGAGCCCGGGATTTCAAGCGCTTCCCTGCTGGGCTGGTGACTTAATTTATTTCTTTAATTTGTTATAACCCCACAAAAAATGATACTCTTTGGAGACCTCAGTAGCCTGAGTTCTGCATGTATTATCTGCTGGAAGAGATTAATGAGATAGCAGAGGCAATTTGAAATGGGGTCCCTTGGTTTTCATCTCCCCCACCCCCAACCCCCGCCTTCGAACTCAGTTGCCAGTTCAGCATTATGAATCTACTAAGTGTTCTTGGCATGTCTGATGGGGAAAGGGAGAGATGGTATAAACTGCAGGCTAAAAAGATGGAAAAAACCCACCACCAACAACCCAAACCTTCCTTCCCCACCCTCACCCTGCACCTGTTAGCTACAATGCAATAACTATCTATCTCATCTTATGTAAGACATGTATGTTTACATGTCTTCAATCTTCAGTCTTCCAAGACCTGTAACCTGTGGTTTTAGGTATTTCCAGGGTATGATTCACGTCCCATTCCTCTGCAGACCACCCAAACCACCAGATTATGAAAAGTCATCATTACTGCCCTGCCTGGATAACATACCTTTAGTATATTATAGTATTTTTGGTATTAAGACATTTTAATCATGGTACCTGAAAGAAAAGTAAAAGGTAGTTCAAAGCATGGGCACAAGAGTTTCGTGTGTTATTTATGAGTGTTTGAAGGGAAAGTCAAAGGTAAGTTTGCTGACAGTGACAGTAGAGCACTCTCTATTGCCAGCCCAGAGAATACCCCCGTGGATTCCCACTGGCTAACAGCACCACCAGCTCTGAGAAATAAGTGACAGCCAGGTGATAAGAGCCAAGAGAATTTTTTGACAAAAGCAGCATTTCTCTTAACAGCTGCAGAAAGGCTGCCACAAAAGAAAACTTAGGAATTCAAAACTTTCTCTGACTCTCATTGCAAATGTAAATGGCTACTGTGGCATAATGTAAATTGGGCCCTAGAAATGTTCCTTGGGTGGAAAAATGTTTACTACATGATATTCAGTGAAAAAGAGAAAAATACGAAACTGAACGGTATGAACTCAAATTTGGAAAAGAGCAGAAACAATGACAAAACAAAATACTGTGTTGTGTGTATGTGTGTGTTTGAAAAGAGAATAAAAGTAATCAGACCAGAATATTAGCAACAAGTGTTAAGATGAACTATATTTAATGGTTATTTTTGATACTAACATTTTAAAAATGCTTTTGAATTTATTATAAAATACAATATACACATTTTAAACATGTTTTAAGAAAGGAGAAAATTTTTTCTACGGAACTGCATTATAGCCTTAACTGGTTTACTGTGTTAACACTGCACCTTCTACATCTGTGACATCTTTCCATGAGTCATTTCTCTTGTCCACCAAAATTTTCACCTAGCTTTTTGGAGGTTGGAAAAGGAAGGCACTAATAATTCAAATGATCACTTATCACATAGTATGTCAGAGGTAAGACTAATGAAACCTTATGAATTCTCACTGAAGACAAGGCATCGCAGCTGGAAGCCCGAGTTCCCGGAACAGTAAAGGACAGACCGTGCCATTATGCAAACACACGTAAGAGAGGAGCATTGGGTGGTAAAAACAAATTTAAGAGAGACCGTAATCTGGGAGAAAATAAGTAGGGTAAGTAGAACATCCATATTTCTCACATTAAGAGGTGAGGTCCTCTGAGGATACAACTGTCCATTCCTCGTCGGGAGCATTACTCC